GGGTATGACCCCGGGTGTGGCGAGGGGGTTTGGGATTTCGGATTCGGAGATGGGGACCCACTTAGACTTAGATTTGTCGATGGGCCTTCCACCTAGTTGCGTCGGGGCGACATCGACGGACCGGGCTCCATCGAGGGACGAGGCGCCAGGACAGACTTCGACGCAGACCGCGCGAGAGAGGACGACGACTGAATTTCCAGATGCAGCACGCGCCATCATGGAGCGAGAGAGGGCTCGACTTTTGGCATCGAGTGACCCACGTGCTCAGGCGTTCGCACGGGCTGTAGAGGAGGTCAGGCATCGAGAGATTAGGGGGGATTGTGTGCAGGGTGGGGTGGTGGCGGGGGAGGACGTTGCGGAGGGAGTGGCAGCAGAGTCGGTACCCAAGGCTATATTGGGTGGAGGAGAGGCAGCGGACGTTGCTGTGGAGGGACGGCCTCAAGCGGTGGATGAGGGTGTGCAGGCAGGACAACGACGAGTCGAGGGGGCTATAGACGCACGACGCGAGGTCCAGGAGACAGCGACGGGTCCAGTCGTTCCGTTCTTGGGCCTGCACTTGGCTCAGGCCCGACAGTCGCAGGCGGTTCAGATGGCAGTGCATGGTGTGCCACCGCCCGTTATCACGGATTTGGGGTCCGAGCCGGTGGTTGTGCCCCCACGTCTTCCTAGCCACTTTGCTCCGCAGGAGGTCCGTCGTCCTTTGGATGCAGAGGAGTTGGCGAGAGAGGCTGTGCGCAATGTTACTCAATTGGACCGACGGATCTTTGACCGGAGGCTCGAGCATCCACCATGGCAGACGATCCCTTCGGTTCCATGGGGTCCTGCSTCGCCTGTGTGGTCTGGGTCTACCTCCACCGGAGGACATACCGCGGGACATGTTCCAGGGGTTTCGGGTGGCGTGACGGAGACAGCGCCACGCACATGAGACATGCCACCCCCTCCTCCTAGAGCACCTTTAGGTGATCCATCATCGTCGCCCGCAGGCAGAGGCTCTCGATGCCCACACACGCCTGGGAGATGTAGGATTCGTGACATGACAGCATTTTAGCAGGACGTGTGTGACACGACGATATTTGGGAGGACAGACATAGATTTGGATTCCACCCGCCGTGTCACGGAGCACACTGCACGCCTTTAACCGGGTTTGGGAGGAGGAGGCGCCAGGACGACTGAGGCGAGGGAGGTACCGACATCAGATTGTGAGCCTCAGCGAGGTCGAGGCACAGGAGTGTCCACCGAGATCTTGGAGTACGCTCTGAGAACAGCGACGCGTGCCATGCAGGAGCAGACTCCACGCAAGCGTGGAGTGCCTCCTCGTCCACGCCCCGTGCCTGCATAGGAAGGCGCAGCACTTAGAGAGAGTTCGGGGGCGGAGGGGTTGGGGATGCCTCGTGGATCCCGTCGTGAGCAGACCGTTGCAGAGGCTAGTGCGAGGGTTGTTGYGTTGAGGAAGGGAGGAGGCCCAGTCACCATCGAGGAGGATGATCCTGATACGGGTGCAGCTGTGCRGGAGGCGGACGAGGACTRTGAGGGCGAGGAGGGGTGAGAGGAGGAGAGCAGGAGCGGTTCCGATGGTGACGACGACGACGACTACGATGAGCCCCSACCTCCCCCAGGACCCCCACCAACACGTGCATCTAAACGCTCCGCTGCACGGACTTCTTCATCCTCACGAGGGGGGAAGAGGTCGACATCCGRCACTYGAGGGGGTACGAGGAGACACAGCGGGAAGGGGAAGAAGGGTCGTTGACCGATGAGGCCAACACTCCGCTTCTCCCCTACTCGCACTGTACGTCGTCATGTTGTGCGGTTGTAGTTTTTTTGGTCGTCTGAGTCGTCTCGTTTTGTCTCAGTATTGTCAGACACCCAGTGGTTGTATGCGTGTTTTACTTATTGGTGTGTATGATTTTGGTAGCAGTAGGGTGTTCGTAGAGTACGATTTTGGTGCCGGTAGGGTGTTCGTAGAGTGTCGTCGGTTGCAGCAGATTGAGTTCAAACTGTACAGTATCTTGGCAGCTACGACACGACTTGTAGACTACTCTTTCTTGTATTTTTTTCGACATGTGGTGCTAGTGCATTAGCAGTAGGATACATTGTATCATGTTACATTTTGCATGTGTGATATTAGTATCAACCTGTCAGGTACTTCGCATCGTTCACGACTTTTTACGTACATTACATTTTCTCTTACGAGTGGTGCACGTTGCGTGCCCATTTTTTTTTCGGTGTGTGATTTTAAATCTTTAATTGTTCTTCTCGGTCGGGTCAATTACATTTCTTGCATTTTTTTTCTTTTAATTTATTTATGGGCTTCGAGAGTTCGGTGCTTGTTTTTTTTTTTTCTATCTTATTTGTTGATTTTATTTGCATTGAATGGAATACTAACTGATAGATGTTAATCATATATGGGCTCGCCTATTTGATATCCACCCA